ATCAGATTCCTCCTTCCTAAAGGCATAAAATGAACATCAGCAGTGAATTTATTTTGTAGTTTTTCCTGGAAGCTTCTGACAATGAATTCAAAGACCCAGTTCTTTCTCTCCACCTCTCTCTCTTCCCCTCCCTTCCCCTCCCTCCTCTGTCCTTCCCTTTCTTCCCTTCCTCTTTCTCATTTCTCTCCCCTCCCCTGCCTTTTCTCTCATCTAAAGATTAGGGATTATCTTGGACTAGCTCTTCAGGTTCTCTGTTTAGACCAGAATATTAAAAAAAAAAATTATTGTATATCATTAAAAATAAAACTATAAACAATGAAAATGGATAAAACAAGCTGCATGCAATGGATACTTCCCAAAAATATATATTTTTTTAATTTTAAAGATGTGGGGGTACAATCCAGGGTTAGGTATACAAATGTTCATCATGCAGGTACCCTTGTTGATGAGGTGTGCCCCCCCATAGTTTCCCACTACTGCCAGTTCCTTTCTCACAGTATTACGGTAATCATTCAAGATCTGATTATGAGTGAGAACACATGGTACTTAGTTTTTGGTTTCTGTGATAGATCACTCAGTTTTATAGACTCTAAGTCCATCCAAGTTGCTGCGAAGTTCATAATTTTGTCTTTCTTTATGGCTGTGTGGTATTCCATCATGTATATGCACCCATCAGACCAGGATCTTACATTCATGGTTTAGTATTATTATTCCATAGTAGTATTGAGTACGTTGAGGATCCCAGCTGTGAGAGTGGGTGGATTTCACATCTGGTTGAAGTACAGTGCCTGGGCACTCTCAAGTTTTCAACCTGCAGTTCTCCTGGGGCTGTATGAGGAAGCAGTATATGGCAGTGCATTTTTTTGTCCCTCCTGACCTACTTCATAGCCTACTTTCAAAAAAGATGCCTCACCTCAGTTCCTTATTATCACATGAAGCACTTGAATATATTTTGTTCCCAAGAGCAAAGCTGTTTCTGTTCATGCCAGCTTCAAGACTCGGCCAGCAAACCCACCTCTTCTGCATTACTCACAGGTCTGATTTCAAGCTTTGTTTCTGGTTCACAGAGATGTTTATCTTGCTTTGGAACCTGGTTTTTTCTTTTTCATTTCCTCTTTTCATGATTTGTCTATCACTGCTATGTTTTTTGTATTTGTTTTTTTTTTTTTAGACAAGATTTCATGCTATCTCCCAGGTTTCTGGAGTAAAGTGGTGTGATCATAGCTCACTGCAACCTCGAACTTCTGGATTCAAGTGATGCTTCCACCTCAGCCTCCTGAATAACTGAGACTACAGGCTTGAGCCTCAATGTCCAGTTTGCTCTATGTTTGAGGCAAAAGTCATTGAGTTAATATTACTGGAGATTAGGCTAATATTTAAAATGTGAAACCACTGATATCTAGAAATAAAGTTTCTATGGTAATACGGAAATTAAAATAAAAGAACCACAAATACGGAGCTTATACAAAGATTCTTTCTTATTTGAGTATTTTTATTTTGATTAATCAATCCTTGGAGGAACAAGACAGGATTTTTAACATGGTAAAGTTTCTCTTGGATTTACCATTTTAAAATCTTTAAACAGAGGTTTGCTTAAAATAGTATAAACTCCCCCACAGTAAAATGAAATTTTAAAAATGTATTACAGAATAATAAAATTTTCAAGACTGAAGAGACATTGGAAAGACTATTCCAAATGCCTGTTCGATGCATATCTATATTGCTCAACCTATGTGTCTATTTATGGTAAAGCTGCACACCAATTTACAAGACCTTATTGGTAGATAACTTACAATGTTCAAAAACATTACTCATATTAATTTTAATTCCACCTTTCTATAAACTTACTTATTGATTTTAGTTTTTTCCTTTGGGAAAAAATGCTTAAACATGCAAGAATAATGTTTAAAATAATGCTTAAAATGTTTAAACAGTAAGAATAAATACACATTTTTTATAAATAAATTTCAAGGTTTTTTGGTTTCCCCCGTATCAGATTCACATAAAAATTTATAAATATAACTTCAAATCAGATTCACATAAATTATATCATTTAGCATTCATAAAAGTTATGTAAGGTACCTAGTTGAAACATTTTAATTCTCATATGACCTAAGATAAAACTCAGGATTGAGGAGGTTAAATTATTCTTAGAAGCAAACTTATTTAGTAGGTTGTGGCATAATTGAGATGCAACTCCAAAAAGCATCTCAGCTTAGGCCTGAACTGGGCCCTTCCTTCCTCAGTCCTATCAGCCTAGAGTGCTCATAAGGGAGCTCCATCATGGCTCTGTATACAGGAGAGACAGAGAAACTTCCCGGGAAAGCATTCATCACATCATAAAATAAAAGAAAACAGATGGATAAATTTGATGATAGAAAGAAGACAAGAATTACAGGTAAAATGTGATACTGAGGGATGCCATGGTGCCTCCCATTCAGATTTGCCCTCTATGGGACCATGTGACTTAGCAGAAAAGCATGGAAAGGAATTTGCTAGTGGGGAATGATTAAGCCACTAAGGTGAGGGATTCTACTTTTATCAAAGGTGCTAATGGATCCCCCAAAGATGGACTGGCCAAAGGGTGTATTCTTTCTGGTGTTAAGGCTTTGGCTGTAATAATGTAAGCTCTTTTCTGTTCTGGACTCTGGCCCGTCATGGGGAAGTTGAACCTAACCCATGTTGAGCTAAAATACATGATGTTGTAGGAAGAAAGCTGATAGGAAGTGTGGGTTTGCAATTAGTACAATCCATGTTTAACTCTCAACTCTGTTTTATTACTGGTTGTTTGGTGTAGGGCAAGTTACTAAATCATTCTGAACTTTGTTTCCTCATTTATTCAGTAGGAAAATAGTATCTACCTCATTGTGCTATTGATGAAAGATAAGTAGAATTAACATTTGTGAAGAAATATTATGGCAGAACTTCCAGTAGAAAGTAGTGCATTTTCTCCACTTGTCCTCAGCTTTCTGAACATTCACTAATATTGAAAAGTATAAAGAGCTCATAATACCAAAATATAATTTATTTATTAAAATTATAGAACTCAAATATTGAAAGAGTTAATAGACATCTTTCATGTACTCAGGGTTTTTTAATAATTTATTAAATATATACGTTTTTTTTTTATCGGAGCCACCTCTCAGACCTGCAAGAAGACATTTCTTAATAACGCAACTATACTAGTCACTTTCTGCAGAAGGTTTATCTTTTTAGTCTATTCTTTCCCAAGCATTTTTGGACAGACATAGAGCTAACATCATCCCCTGATTTTTTAAATCACCCTAGAGGAAACATTCTGAATCCAAATCTATGGTTTGTGATTCATGTGAAAGAAACTATCCTATATGTTTCCTCTTCCCTTTCTTAGGGCTTTAACCATAATAAAAAGTATACATATTTTAGAGAATACAATAATTTTCCAGGCATAGTTAGAAAGTCTTTTTATATCAAAAATCTTGCCCTTTTTTCCTAGCTTTAGAATTGTGCATATAATAGTTCCATAATGCTTGAAAGTTAAATTTAGAGCCAGCATTTATTTCTTTATTCAAGTTGTTTTCTTCAGGCAGAAGAAAATTGTTTTCTTTGGGCAGAGCAAGGTCTGAGGTTTTCTGTGGGTTGAAAATATCCTCATACTATGGAGGTACGAAGACTAGGATAACCTCCAGAGACTTTTACTCAGATAAACGGATAGCTAGAATAATCAGCAGCTAGGCTTTTTGGGAACTGAAAGGAAAATAGTGTGTCAGGAGAGAGAATGGAATGAAAATTTTCTATTTGCTTCTTTATTTTACAGAGGAAGAAAGATATGGCGTGATAATGATATATGAGAGAATTAAGGTGAAAACAATAGAAAAGGCTACAAATGGTAGATAATATAATATTGTCATATTTCATACATTGAATGACTCCAATACTATAAGGGTAGAGAAGAAGAGGAGAGAATTCAAAAAGATATTATACTCATTGTGTTAAAGAAATCATATTATCGTGCTGTGCTGATCACGTAGGTCCCGAGCTTGTGTTAAAATAAAACAAGTTACTCTTCCACATTATCCTGACCATTTGGGTCCAGGAAAAGTGCTTTATATCACCTGGAGTAGGTGGCCTTTAAGTTCTTGTTGAAGTTCCTAAAATTCCTTATCAGATTTGTCATGTGACTAGTTTTCAGTGCAGTATGCAATGTTACATCAAGCTATCAGTTTCCCTTGGTGCTTTCTTCCTTTGTAGTATTTTCTTACTCCTATGATATTTTGTGTAATCACCAGAATAGTAAATTGTCACCTACCCCCAGCTTTGTAGTCTGAATTCTAGAAAAGGTAACTTTCCCGAATAACTTTCTCTCATATTTATTCTAAATGTAAATTCCTTCCAAACTTTTAAAAATTAAATGGTGCAGAATTAAGTGAAATGAAACTAACACCCAGATATTTCTCTGCTTTTTATACCAAGAAAAAGAAAATCCCTAAATTAAACTTAGTTTTTTTGCAGAGATATATGTGTTTGGCTCATTCAGACGAATTCCAGTACTAATGTCACCATTCTTAGATTTTAAATTCCAGACCAGGCATTGGTTCTACTCTTGGTTCTTATTACATACCCAATGGGGGTTGCTTAATCAAGGTCAGAATTTATTCTATGTTTTAGAGGTATACTCTTGTAGCAACATACACTATGGGATTGATTATTAGCATATACTTCTAGCAGTACTGGAGATGAAAATCAGAGGAATTTCCGATGAATGTGAGATAATGAAGTTTATGACTCTTTGCTCCCGAGTTGCCCCACTTGGCTTTTCTCTCTGTGGCCTGTGCTCTCTGTGCCTTTCTTCCTATACTTTGTGGTCTGGACAGCACCCCATATTTAGAGACAGAATCTGATCAATATATGTTCTTGATATCAGAAATGTAAACGATGAGACTCTAAGGCGTTTACATTAGCATTCCCACAAGCCTCATAGACAGCAATTCTTCCACCCCCAAGACTCTCTCTAACATCCTTCACCTTGATCTCTGTTTCCTCAATACTCTCTTTAGGGCACCCTTGACCTCTGCATTCCTTCTGCTGTAGATGAGGGGGTTCAGCATAGGGTTGAAAAGGCTATGAAACAGGGAAAGGACCTTCTGCTGCTCCTCAGGATGGTGGGACTTAGGGGCCATGTACATGACGATGGCGTTGCCAAAAAAGAGACCTACCACACAGAGGTGGGAGGAGCAGGTGGAGAAAGCCTTTCTGCGGCCCTCCCCAGACTGGATTCTCAGGATGGCTGCCAGGATGTGCAAGTAGTAGACTAGCACCAAGCACAGAGGGCCCACAAGGATGAACACAGAAGCAGCAAAGATGACGACTTGGTTGAGCCGGGTGTCAGCACAGGCCAGCTTGAGGACAGATAGGATTTCACAGAAGAAGTGGTTGATTTGATTTCATGAGGCCCACAGAAAGGCAGCCTCAGGATGAGACCCACATGGACCAGGGCCAGGAGGGAGCCACATGCCCAGGAAATGACAGCCAAAACCATGCACACGCTCCAGCTCATGATGACGGAGTATTGCAGAGGGTGGCAGATGGCCACATACCAATCATAGGACATCATTACCAAGATGAGACACTCTGTGTGAGCAAAAGCCATGTATAAAAAAGTCTGCATTATACATGGGGAAAAGAAGATTGTTCTTTTCTTGTTCAGAAGGATTGCCAGCATCTTGGGGACATTGTTGGAAGCATATGAGGTATCAACAATGGCCAAGTGTGAAAGGAAGAAATACATGGGCATGTGCAGTTTGTTGTCCAACCAGATGAGTCCCAGGATGACCCCATTCCCTATCAGAGTGAAGACATAGAACAGGGAGAAGAGTCCAAAGAGGAGCATCTGCATGTTTGAGTTGAGTGAAAACCCCAGGAGAATGAGTTCTGTGACACATGTCTGATTTTCCGTCATGCCCTTGATACAGTGTCTGTATTGGTCACTGTTTTGGCAGTGAAATATGTGCTGAGGAGTAAAGGAAGATCTGGATTAGTCATTAGATAGAAAGAGCTTATGAGGTACACAGTGTATTGATTTACTCACCGATCTGTTTTCAGAGTCATTATGTCAAATCTTTTAAGCCACAATGAATAAGAAAGAAAATTAAGTTCAGATTACTAGTGTAAGTGAACAGAAAATTAAGTTCAGGTTACTAGTGTAAGTGTCATATATGATTTCCATTTTCAAAGAATTTTATTTATCTTTGATTATAAGATTCACATTTTTACTATTATGATGGTAGCTATAGACATAAATTCTGTTTTCCAGAATGACTAGTCATTTTATTATTAAGAAAGGACCATAGCCATATTCTCATGTATTTTTACTTTCTAATTTATTCAGTCTTTATATTTTGTTCTCTTTTTCCTCATCATTTGATTTTTCTTATTTATAACTTGTGCAGAATATGTTACACACAGCAACTGCTCAATAAGTGATCAGAAAAAATATATGAATGTATGAATTAAGGAATGACATTTACAAATGCGATTTCAAGGAACTTTTTTCCCCTGTGTTTACTAGTTTTAGGCAAACAAGCTTGCATTAAGCTTTTTATGTCCTGATGCTACTCAGGAAAATCTGACTGTGTTCCTTCTGAGTAAGCACAAAGAGTGCATCATGGATGTGGCCTACATTCATAGAAGTAATTTCTGATACAAGATCAGAGCAAGTTGTTATATATGTGATGAGTTAACAGCTACTCCTGTCTCTACCTCTCCCCTGTGCAGAGCTGTTTCCATGGTTCTGAGTAGATGATGTTTCTGGGACAGTGTTTATTACAGTTGTTGGATGGATGGATGGAAGGATGGATGGTAGGCATTACATTAGAAATAACATTCAAAGGAAATATCCTAGATTTTAGTCAAGTCTTTAGATTTTTCTTTCATCTTCTCTGGCTACCATTTCAGGAGTCACATGGCCATGGGATACAGAAAGGGAAAACCTAGATGTTTAACAGAAGTATACAAATACTAAATGATCAGGAGGCCATTCGAGCTTTACAGCTTATGACTCCACCTCTGCAAATGCTAACCCTCTTAGGCCCAGAAAACTGTCTACCCATAAATTGACCTTGTACCTGTCATCCAGTGTATTGATTTCTGAAGTCCTTCCTCCCTCCACATCCTGACTTCTCTAAACTGCCATACTTTGCAAAAGATCCTTTACTCACTGCGGTACAAACCTGGTCTTGTGTCCAAAATATGATTAGATTTATACTTAATTGTACAGAGGTCACAGGAGCTTTTGAAAGTCAGAGCTAACGATCTTACTCCTTCTGGCAGCCTCTGAAAAAGGGACTTCCCGGGTGTAGGAGTTGTCTCTGTCTTATTAAAGGCAGGCTGATGCAGGCGCTGTGGCCTGCTCACTGGGAGCACCAGCAGTACAGATTTTATGGTAGGGTCGCCTCCACCCAAGCCTTCCTGGATTGTCCCTGAGGGCAACAAAAGATCCTTGAGGGATCCAAGATACACAGAACTCAGACTCCATATCTACCAGGAGAAATAAAAGTTGTTTGACTCTCTTACTCCATTTCTCTGGGCCCTGGAGATGGATATTCAGAAGAAAAGTAGCTGGCAGGTGATTATGAAATATCTATCTGGATCCCTATACATGAAACTCATAGTAATAAGAGCATACATACTCCTGGGGCCACATTGTAAATTACACCCAAGTATTTTGATGGTAATGGGTTCATGGATCTAAGTCTTGTCCCATATGTTTTAAGTGGAGCTTGGGGGAGGCAGAGCATCATCCTTACGTGATAATGGCCTGACAATTTCCTCCTCCTCAGGCAATTCTTACTTGGATACTGGTAGGTACAAAAAAATACTTTTATCAACGTTTCCACATCATAGTTAAAAAGATTCTGAGGCTATCCTATGCAGTACCTGAGATTTCATATATTGAGTGTAGGAAGACAGAACCAAAGGTAAAGCTGGCCTTGAAGAGCTGTCATGGTAGAAGCCCTAGTGTTGAGAGGGCAGCAAATGTCTAACTCACATTCTTACTATTATATACTCATGAAGTTCAGTGAAACTTTTGATATAATGATGGTGCAGACTGGGGTGTTATAAGTATATTCACATAATAAAGCACAGAAGATTTATTGAAAAAAAATGTTCTGATGGTCTCTCTTATGTGTATGTCTATGTCTTTGTGTATGCAACTGTGTGTTTGTTTGTTGGGAAATGTTTTAGAGAAAAACATCCAAATTCATTGATCAGGACACATTTTGTTCTTCACTAGAGAGAGAGGTAGGTTGTTAATATATGAGACACACGGTTTACTGGTCACAAAGGAGTGAAGGAAGTATACTATGATTTTAGCTCACAGACTATAAAGGATCCAAAGCAGGTATATTTTTATGAACAATATGAAGCTCAAGGAAAAATTGTCCTGGGACTTCTGAAAGAGTGATAAGAAAAGTTTAGGAGCTATGTACTTTGGTTAGGAAAGACAGCTGAAGCACTTTACAAATTAAAATAAATTTAATTAACTACCTAAAACTGGAAAACTAAATAAAATATTGCCAAGAAGTTTTCCAATTATCCATAAATGAATACTTTATATCCACAATTATCCATGTGTAGATACTTAACAATTAATTATTTCACTTATTTATTAATTCACTCATTCAACTTACATTTACAGAGCATCTGCTCTTTGTGTATATTGTTCTAGACACCAAGGAAGCAAACATTGGTAAGATACTGTCTCAGTCGCCCAGAAGTTTACAGTCTCCCTACAAAGAGAGCGATGTTATAAACAACATAGGGACTGTGATACAAGTGTGCATAGTATACTGTGGGACTGAGGAAGAGTTGGTATCTTATTTGAAGATATAGGATGAATAAGGGTGGTGCCAGGCTGTACCTCAGGTTGTAAGGCGAGGCACAGTAAAAGAATGATACTGGAAAAGGAGTTCCTGATCAAACTTCTGTTGAACTTCATTGTAAATAGGGAATAGAATGGTGCAGTTACACAGATTACTTTTTGGATAATGTGCAGAACCGTTTAAGGGAATAAAATTGGAAACTGTGAACCTAAGCTATTTGAAGAGTCTATGTGTTCTCGTTATAGAAGTAGGTATCTGAAGTAGCCATGGGGGTGAGGGGATTGGAGAAAATGGATAAGGAACATGTGAGGGAAATATAATTATTAGTATTTATGACTTGATTGCGGTGAGGAAACAAAGCAGAGATACGGTGCATCTAAGGTTTCTGGGTTTTGTGACTCTGTATGAGAAGAATATATTTAAATCAAGTTTTAAAAAGAGTGTTATTTTGAACATGATGGGTCTGATGTCCCTGTGAGATATGTACATGGCTTTGTTCAATAAGAAATTAACTAAATTGCTTTGGAGTTCATTAGAAATATACGGGCCAAAGATATGGGTTTGGGAACCATATGATAGCTAAAGTCATGATAACAACCAAAGGTATTTAAAGAGAGCAATTTGAGTGAGATTTAAAAAAGAAAGACAAGAAGAGTATCTTAATCATATTTAAGAGATGGACAGAGAAAGAGAAATTTCCAAAAAAGAGCAAAAATAAAGACCAGAGGAATAGACAACAAACCAAAAATATAAAGTAAGGAAATTAATGAGCTATGCTATGTGCTATTCCTGGAGGCAAACTGAAACTCACTTTAATTATATGATTAATTCTAAGTCTACTTTCTAGAAACAAGGATATTTTTATGTAAATTACTACACTGAAGTTAATATTTTTAATAAAATTAAAATAACACAAAAGTTAATAACAAAAGTAATTGAATCCTTCAAAAATATCAAGCAATTTTAAGCATAATTTTCCATTTTTATTGACCTGTACAAGAATGAACATCAAGCAGTGTGTATAAAAAAATCTTAATTTCCAAGGAGCCTGTTATTAAGCTGTTCATCAGCAATGTGATACAAATGTACAGCAACTTTACTATAAAAATTATATATAATTACTACCCTACAAATGAAACAAGGCCTTAGCTGAGAGAAAATGATGCTGAGGGAAAAAAAGGCAAATGGCCTAAGATTTCTTTAGTGAAGCTTATCAATAATTCACCCAGACAGAAATCCACTGCACTCAAAAACAGCTCCTAATAGTACTCTGGAAACATACCCTATACTTTGGCAACTCACAAACATTCTTCTTCATTCCTCAACACACTCAGAAAGAGATGATGATTGGGAAAGTAGTGGATTTTACAGCATTTTATTTCTTCTCCAATTAGAGGCAAAAGTCAATGCATTAATATTTGCTAGGACCACTGTATAGACTCAAAAGGAAGATGAAAGAGCAATGACATCTTCAACACCGAAGAATCAGGATTAGTTATCGAATGCATTAATAATTTCCAAAGACAAATTGTTTGTCATCTAATTGGTTGTTTTGTTTTGTTTGGAAAACAATTACATTCTCAACCTTTATCTATCAACTGATAAGTAGTTTGTTGACTCCATAGATATTGAAGAAATGCTTCTCAAAGCATGGTTTAAGGACCACCAGCATAAGAGAAGTACTTCACTCTTTGTGAAGTGAAATAACTTACTACAATAAGTTGCATCATTACCCCTGAGAGTTACACAAATGAGAAATCAAGTCATTCTTATCATATTCACTTTACTTCTCTTCATCTTTCGTGCCACTACCACTGTCCACAGTCGCTGAGGGTGCATGGAAAAATAGAGAACTGTGCCTCATATTTATAATTTATACATTTAGTATTATTTCCAAATTGATGTAAGTGGATATAGATTCACTACACAAATTAAAATCTTATTGTATAAAGCAGCCAAAAACATGCAATGGGGAAGGGACATCCTATTCAACAAATGGTGCTAGGAAAATTGGAAAGCTACATGCAGAAAAATGAAACTTGATCCCTCTCTCTCTCCATATACAAAAATTAATTCA